TTTGTCTCAATAAAAATATTTTTTAAAAAGTATTCAGATTGCTTGTTATTCACAGAATTGGTTATAAAACGGTGGACTTTATAAATGATGCCTAATTGGGACTATTGATAGATAATAAAAATAGTTGTCACTTATTGGGTTCTCTGTTTTTGATGCCACGCTTTATATGGATTATGCCACTGGATCTTTATTGTACAGATGAGTGAACTGCGGCAGTGAGTGGTCAGGTCATGGGTAGTCGTGTGAGGTGGAGCTGGGTTTTCAGTTCCACATCCTGTGCACATCAGTCCTTTGCAGTTGTACCGTTCATGAACCACACTAATAATATAGTTGACGCTAGAAGTGCTTGTGGCTTTTCTTCAGATAACTAATTTACAACTGAGTTGTAGCTTAATGAGATGATCTGATCATTTTTCTATTTAGGTTTTAATTTAAGGCAGCAAAAAAATTCTCATTTCGTGTTGTGTGTAACCTCTTTGTCAGTTGAGACATGACCTTATTTTTATCCTTTAATCTTGAGTTATGAAGGAGGTTGTTAAAATGAATGATGTCCTGCCACTGTTGCCTATTTCTCCATAGCCTAATCTCAGTTTATATTTCTGCCATTGCAAAGAATATTTGATTAACAAGGGCATACATTATTATAAAGAGTGAACTTTATTTCTGATTTTACTTACCTCTTGAAGTTATGAATGACAAATCATGGAGACATGGTATGGTGAAATGTGACAAATTATCTTCTTAGAATTTAAAATGTGATTTTAAAGTAGTAAATGCTCATTAAATGTAAGAGAGAAAATAAAGCACAATACAAAGGAAGTTAAAAATCATACATAATTCTAGCACTCGGTTGCTATTAAAAATGTTAATACATTTTATTCCAATTATGTATTTTCCCCATGCCACAGTTATAATGTACTAGTAGAAGTTCTTGCTTGTAAGGTGACTTTGGAGGTGGTGGGTAGGGAGGGCAGTTTGCAGAACTGATGGGAAGCTGAGGCACCAGAATTTGGAGCAGGCAATAAGCAAAGGTGCCCTGGCAGGCCAGCAAACAGGAAGCAAGGTGCAGAGTGACCTTAATATAGCAATTGGGATGCTGTGTCCTACTGGAATGCAGGGTCCTACAGCTGTGTGGGAGTCTCTCCTCCCTCTTCCTCGCTGTGCTTCATCCAGATTCCCAGTCCCATGGAGTGTCAGATTGCTAGGATGTGTCTTAGGACTGTCTCTGGCTGTACCACAGGGAGGATTTTACTTTTACTTTTTTTTTAATTGATTTATTTTAATTGGAGGCTAAGTACATTTTGAAATGAAAAACAACCAATGTGTTTTGTGTGTGCTGAGTAGTGTTCTGAGTGATTTCTTAAACTGACTCATCCCAGTTCTCATGGAAGTTCTTTGAGACGAGTGCAGGTAGTATCCTTGTTTTCTAGTTGAGTAACTAGATAAAGGCACAGAGAGATGGAATAGCTTACTGTTGCCAGAGGGCTACCAGGGTGTGAACTGGAGGTCAGGCTTTAGGATTTGGGTGTTGAACTACACTGATCTCCTGAGGTGGTGGGAGTGGGGAGGAGGGCTTCCCACTTAGATGCCACCGAGTGGAGGACAGGTGCAGTTTTGCAAATTAATCATATTTGTTAAATACTTATCACATGCCAGACACACTTCTATTTCATATCATTATTTATTTTTGTCTTCACTGTATTTTTTTATGTGTATTACATATCTGTTTCATTAAAAAACTTGAGTGAATGATGCAGATAAAAATGTAAGTTTTGGTAAAATATTTAATTTCTTAAGGGTTGTTCTTGTTTGTGGAGCATAGTGTCAGCCTTTGTGCTATTAAGGATAATTTTAGTGCCTCAAGTTTAGGAATGCAATACAGGTTCCACTAGTATCTAGAGGAGGAGACCAGACCAACAGCAGTGGTAGAGTTCTTGCCTCTGTGTGGTGAAAGAACAGAAGGTATATAACAAGAGGGCGATGTGTTTGCTGATGTTATTTTCTTTTAAGATGCAAATACCTACCTATCATTATAGAATTCGCTAGTTGAGTTGATTAAGTGATGAATGCTTGTTTCCAAATAATAAGATAGAAAGGACTCTCTGGTTTCTTCTGTATCAAAACCCAAACAAGTTGGTGTTTTATTTATCCTTAATAATTTCTACACATATTTTATATACTTGAATACTTAATTTTTTATCTTAACATAGAATTTTACTATACATGTGTGTAAGTAAGTATTACATTACAGAAGAAGGAGAAACTTCAGGGTTATAAAAATATTGGAGAGATTCTTCACATCCTTTCCCCCAAAATTATACTCCCCTGGGGTAACTACTGTTAACATTTTGGCATATATCCTTGATTTTTTTTTTCCCCGTACACACACAGTTTTGTCAAACTAAATGAAATTCTGTAGAGTTTTTGTTAATATAATTAATAATTAACTCTGGCATTGTTCATGTCAGGATTTCATTCTTTCAGAGGGTGGTCTGATGCTCCAGAATATGGATTCCCCGTGAGTGTATGCTGTGGTTGTTCAGTCATCCAGTCATGCCCCACACTTTGCAGCCGATGGACAGTTTGTATCTTATCGGATTTTTAGTTACAGTGACAGGACTCTCACATTTTTTCTTTTTTTTTTTTTTACATTTTTTCTTCTCTACTCTCACCAGCCTTTGGTTTCTTTTGCTAGTTTTTCCTCAAAATGTTAATGTGTCATTAACCTATTGTAATTCCCTAGGTAATCCCAGTGCCTTCATGGCTTTCAGTATAGTCTATATGTTTATGACTCCCAGTTCCTGTCTCCATATGAACCTGTCTTCATCTCAGACTTGTGGGTCTAGCTGTCCTTCCTGCATGTCCTCCTGAATGTCCATTCAGTTCAGTTCAGTCGCTCAGTCGCGTCCTACTCTTTGCGACCCCATGTATCGTAGCAACCCAGGCCTCCCTGTCCATTGCCAACTCCCAGAGTTTACTCAAACTCATGTCCATTGAGTCGGTGATGCCATCCAACCATCTCATCCTCTGTCATCCCCTTCTCTTCCTGCCCCCAATCCCTCCCAGCATCAGGGCCTTTTCCAATGAGTCAGCTCTTCGCACTGATGTTGAATGTCCATTAGGCACTTTTAACATAACATATGTATGTTTAAAAGTTGATTCAGCTATCCTGTTCTTTCTTAATTTGAGAATGCCTTGATTTCTTCTTCATTTCTGAAAGATAATTTTGTTGGGTATATGATTCTAGGCTGATAGTTTTTTCTTTCTTCACATGAATAATATTTTGCCACTTCCTTCTGGCTTTCATTGTTTATTTTAGGGAATTCATGACCATTCTAATTTTTTTTTCTATATATATTTGTCAAATTTTTTTCTCATTACTTTCAATTTTTTTCTTTATGTTTAGTTTTCAGAAGTTTAGTTATGATCAGTATTTCTTTGAGTTTATCTTATTTGGGGTTTGCACAGATTCTTGAATCTGTGAGTTTATATCTCTTACCAAATTTGGAGAGTTTTCAGCCATCATTTCTTCAAGTATTTTTCAATTTCACCTTCTTTCTCCTCTTTTATGGACTCTGATTATAAAAACATTAGATCTTTTGTTTTAGTCTCCCAGGTCTTTGAGACTGTTCCTTTCTTCTCAGTCTATTTTCTCTCTACTGTTCAGATTGGATAGTTTTTGTTCTGTCTTCTAGTTACCTGATTCTTTTGTGATCCCTTCCATTTTTGCTGTTTAGCTCATCTCTTGAGCTTTTTATTTCAGTTATTGTATTTTTTCAGTTTTAAATTTTTCCTTGGTTCTTCTTTATTTGGTCCTTTTATTTCTTTGCTGAGGCTTCCTTTTTTTTTTGTTTCAAGTGTATTCAAACATTTGTAGTTGCTCTTTTTTATCAATGCTTATTTAAAATCTTTGTCAATTATTATCTTGTGGTGTTGATATCTATTGATTGTCTTTTTTCATTATATTTGAGATCTTTCTGAATCTTGGCATGACATTGATTTTTGATTGAAGCTGGATATCACTGTATCATATTTCCAAACTTGGATTGAAACCTGGTTATTTTTGTATAATGTTCTGAGGCTTGGATCTCATTTAAGCTCCATATTTTATCAGGTTTTTCTGACACTGCTCAGGCAGAGGCTGAGTGGGTGTCATCTTGTTACTTCCAGGTGGAGCTAGAAATCCAGGTTCCCTACTTGCCTTTGGTTGACAGTTGAGGCAGAACTTTTATTATTTCTGGATGGGGGAGTAGAATCTCCAACTCTCCCCATGGTTTCTACCAGACACTGTGGTAAGGATGCTGTCATCACTGCTGGGTGATGGTGAAAGTTCTGACTCCCACCAGGCCTCCTCTGAGAGGGCAGTATGCTGTGTTACTAGGGATGGAACATGGTCTCCACTGATGCCATGGTTCCTCTCATTAACCTTGGCTGATAGGGTTTAAATTCTTGGCTGTCTCTCCTTGGCTTTTGCTGACCACTCTGGCAGAGGTGTTGCTCACATGATTCCTACCTCAAAAGACTGGAAGTCTCGCACTTCTCCTTTGCTGACATGTTTGGGGATAGAGTCACAGCTTTTCCTGTGATGCTTGGCTGGAATAGAGTGGTTGTTCTCTAAACATGTTTCTCTTTACGGGCTTCTCCTTTTTTGGTATTTTAGCTAGCAAGAGTGGGCTTTTGGGAGGAATTGTTTTGTCCACATCCATTGGTATTTTCACGTTACTGGTTTCTTCAGTTCCAAGACTGAGATCCATGAGGCAAAAAGAATGCCCAGTACACTGACGACTCTGTTGTCACTTGGGCCCTGAGTTCCCTAGTTTTGTTTTTTTTTCCCATCTCTCAGATTCGTCTTATTGCATGTTTTATGATATACTGTTTAGTTGTACTTACTGGGAGGAATAGGAAAAGTATCTCCATCCCATCTTTTTGGAGACGGAAGTCATGTCCATCTTTTTTGAACTTTGTTTTCAATGGGCCCCATGTGATTCTTCTCTGTGCAGGTACCTGGAACTGGAAAGCAGTGGCCATCGGAATGAAGTCAGACTTCACTACCGCTCCGGCAGCCACCACCCTCACACGGAAGTGTTTCCTTACATTTTGGCTGATGATAAGTGGCACAAGCTCTCCCTGGCCATCAGTGCCTCCCACTTGATTTTACATGTCGATTGTAATAAGTAAGTGAAGTGTTCTCAGCTCAGGAAACGGAAGAGTCTAAGAAGTGACGGTTGATACATATTACTTATCTGATTTTTTTTGTAGAATATATGAAAGAGTTGTGGAAAAGCCTTCCACGGACTTGCCCCTGGGCACTTCATTTTGGCTGGGACAGAGAAATAATGCGCATGGATATTTTAAGGTATATTTTGACTAATATAAAATGTAAATACAAATGCTTTCTAATGAGCTTCTAATGAGTTTTGCTTTTTATGGTGTAAGCAAAATAAATAGATTTGTATAGTTTTTTTTTCCTATTGGCCTCTATTTCTGTTTTATTTTTTTTAATACTGATATTTTATTTAGCTGGTCAAGTCTATTCTCTTTTATTTTTTTTCTTAATGAATTTGATCTTTAGATATGACAGATGATCAGTCTCTCAAGGCTCAATCAGGGCAGTTAACATATTCTTGAAATTAGGCATTCAAAGTAATAAAAATCTAAAATGTTTATATACAAATAAACTCTCCACTTTAAAATATAACCTTTGATGATACTTTTACAGGGATGTTAATAATAGAGGTTTAAAACTTTTCAATATTCATTATTCATAGTCTCCTTGTACTTCTGAAAATGAGAAAGGAGTACATATATTAATATGTGCACAAATCTATCAAAGCTAGAAAGCAGTTATAATTGATATCATTTTCTTGTTGTCTATTTAGAGATATACTCCATAGAATTGCGTCACAGGAGCTAATGGACATCCCATTTAACTCTGTATTTTAAGGATGAGGAAATAAGGTTCAGAAAATTGCTTGACTGCCAGCTCATAGTGTCGTCATTTTCCTCCAGTGATTCTGACACTACCTATCATACAGAAGTTATTTATTACAAGATGATAAGTGATGTGTCTAACTTATGGATTCCTAGGTAGAGAAGGTACAAGTAGTTTGGAAAATTGTGTTCTAAGAAAGATTTGTAAACCTCAAAAGATGTTTTTATTTACTTTATTAAAGAATATTTTTTTTGCTGACAATGCAAGAGACTTTACTGAGAAGAGTTGCCCCGGCAGAGAGCATGAGCGTAAGGGAATCCAGGAGAACTGCTCCGCCACATGGCTCACAGTTTTGGGTTTTATGGTGATGGGATTAATTTCTTGGTTGTCTCTGGCCAATCATTCTGACTCAGGGTCTTTCCTGGTGGCACATGCATTACTCAACCAAGATGGATTCCAGTGAGGAGGTGGGACATGTGGTGTCTCCTTTTGACCTTTCCTGACTTCTATGGTAGGCCAGTGTTAAGAATCCATCTTTCAGTGCAAGGGACATAGGGTGCCCTCCCTGGTCATGGAACTGAGATCCCATACGCTATGGGGCAGCTAAGCCCGAGCGCCACAACAGGAGAGAAGCCCAAACGCAGCAACCAGGACCCGAAGCAGCAAGATAAATAAATAAATACCTTTTTTTTAAAAACAGGTGTTTTTATTTTATTTTATTTTATTTTTTTACATTCTGACTTCAGCTTTATTTGGCTTCTAATTTAAAATTTTTTGATGACATACAGTTGATGTACAAAATGAGTTTTGGATAAACTGCATAATAATTGGATGTTTGCACACATTATACAATGATTACCATAAGTCTAGTAACCTTCTGTCCCCATACAGTTATTACAATATTATTGACCCTGTTCCTTATGATATATGTTATAGCTCCATGACTTACTATATAACTGGAAGTTTCACCTCTTAATCCCCTTTACCTCCTGCACTGGCAACCACCTAAAAACAGGTGTTTTTAAAACTTACTTAAACTGTTATCTGGAAACCAGGTGTTTTGAATATGTTATTTCATTGAATCTTAGTCTTGTTACAGGGCCTTTTAAAAAAAATCTCTGTTAAACATGCATAAACCCGTTCAGAGAGGTTAAGTAACTTGTCCAAAAGCAATCATGGAGACTTGATCCCGTGTTTGCAAGTCTTGAAAAATCAGTGCTCTTTTCCCACGTGGTGTGCTAAGTCACTCAGTCGTGTCCGACTCTTTGCAACCCTCTGTACTGTGTGTGGCCCACCAGCTTCCTCTATCCAAGGGATTCTCCAGGCAAGAATACTGGAGTGGGTTGCCATTTCCTTCTCCACTTTTTCCATATATAAAGCATAGCAAATTTGTGCTCCAGGTATCAAGTTTCCCTTCTATTTAATCATGGCAGTCTTTCCCCTGGAGCCCGATGTGGCTTCAGAAACCTTCTCACACATCAGTTATGTGTAATTCTCTAGAGTTGGGCATTGCACTAACCATAGAACTGTACATGGTAGCCTTGCTTTCATTTTGATGATTTTGGATGATAGGAGATTGTTATATACAGGTTGCCTCCCTAATCCAAACCCCAAACAAACAATAGATACAGCAGTTGCCATGCAGTATACTTAGATATTTATAATTTAAACTGACACTCTTTTTGTACCATGCTATTAATCTGATTAAATATGTAAAAGATATATAGGCAAGGATTTGACTGGTAAATCTTTGCAGGTACATCAAAATTGTCTTAATAATATATTGGTACTATGGTCTTGGTCACCTCTGTCATTAAACATTCTGTTTGCATTTTTCAAAGGGAGAAAGTGAAATATTAATTAAAATATATAAAGATCATGAAGGAAGAAAATGGAGTGATGAATGAAAGGGACATATAGAGTGTCTGATGAGGTTGCTACCTTTTGGCTATTGCTTTGAGAGTCTTGTGAACTGGAAGCTAATTATATCTTAATGAGGAAGGATGAATGTAAATTTCACATATAAACATATGATGTGAACTTCTGTGTAAAATATGTTATTTCAAGTTGGCATTTTAAAAAATTTCATGCTAAACTTTCTGTATTCCCAAGGACTCATTACTCAGTCTTGCTGTAGCTGTTTAATAAACGTCTTGTCCTTTTTAAATTGAAGAATTCACTTTAAAAGAACCAACCGAGAAATGAGAAATACTCAAATAAGTATTGTGCTTATGACTTAGTTTTTCTCTTTCCTTCTTGATGATTGTAGTTAACTCAAAATTGGTATCAGTTTTACTGTTGCTGAAACCTGAAGTGATTTTCAGGTTGATTTTTAAAGGTCATTTTCGAGCATTTCTTCAGGCTAACTAAAAATAGCTTCCCCAAACACATGACTATTGCCTCTTAATTATATCTTGACATTTAATCTTAAGGGTTTAAAAATATTATCAATAAGAAAGTACATGGGCAATCATCTATTTTGCCTGATGTTTTTCTTTCCCTTTGGTTTGAAGTCAAAGCCATGTATTCAAAATATTTTTTTCAGGGACTTCGGTGAGTCTGTCCTGTAATGTTTCCCTTCATGAACTTGACTATTGAACATAATTTGGGTAGATGAAAGTAATACATCTTTTTCAAAATTTTTCACACACAGGGCATAATGCAAGATGTGCAACTACTTGTCATGCCCCAAGGATTTATTGCTCAGTGCCCAGATCTCAATCGCAGTAAGTCCATTAGTTCTCTCATTATGTAATGAAAAGTGTGCTTCTTGCTTAACTTTGTCCAAAATGTCAGTTTGCAATTGGAGTTCTCATGTATTAGTTGTCAGCATAGACTTAACTATATTGAACTCCTTGTAAATATAACTTGACCGATGCGGTGTTTGTGATTCTAGCCTGCCCAACGTGCAATGACTTTCACGGACTCGTGCAGAAAATCATGGAACTGCAGGACATTTTAGCCAAGACATCAGCCAAGGTAAAAGCTCCTTAGAAAGAGTGTGGGGGAGTGGAGCTCAGATCCTTGAGGTTTCCTACAGTTTCTTTTATAACCACAGTCGTTCACCTTTGAGATTTTTCTTATCCCCTGAATGGAATCAAAATTCCTGCTCAAGGAAGGGGCTTATAAATATTCAAACCCAAGCCATCTGTATAACAAATGACTCAGTAAATCAAGAATGAGGCAGATTACTTGGTTTTTACACTGCTTACTACAATAGGATTTATTGTTTAATCCAGTTTTTATTATTATTTAGGTTTTTTTTGCAAGGAAGGAGGCAAGAGGACATTGTAAAGAATATGGACCTTAGAATTATGTCAGGGAAATGGTCCCACAAAAGCTTTCTACCATTGTGTTACCATTGTAGAATCACCGGCTGTCTTAATCATGTGTCAAATTTACCTGTAGTTTCACCAGGCTGTAGTCATGTTGCATAGCAGATACTGATGACCTAGAAGTTATATTGTATATGGATGATTTGTTTCTGACAAATGTAAAGTCTAAAATTTATGTTTGCACTTGAGCAAACATAGCCATGAAATTAAACATTTTTAAAAATGGAAAATGCTTCTCTGTATTGTGTATGATGTGATTTTGACTTAGACTTCTTTTCTGTTTTATCATAAGTCACACAGCAAATTTTTCTCTGCTCCCCCACGCCCCCCACACAAAGTGAAGTGAAAGTCACTCAGTCGTATCCCGACTCTTTGTGACCCCATGGACTATACAGTCCATGGAATTCTCCAGGCCAGAATACTGGAGCAGGCTGCCTTTCCCTTCTCCAGGGGATCTTCCCAACCCAGGGATTGAAACCAGGTCTCCCGCATTGTGGGAGGATTATTTACCAGCTGAGCCACAAGGGAAGCCTCCCCCTGACCCCACCCCACCACACTCACAAAGGCAGGAGGCAAATTTACTACAAGAAGAGGAGAAAAATCCTTTCTTTTAAATTAAAGGCTTAAGTCATTTGCAACAACATGGGTGAACCTAGAGATTATCATTACTAAGCGAAGTAAGTCAGAAAGAGAAAGACAAATACCATACGATTTCACTTATATGTGGAACCTAAAATATGACAGAAATGAACTTATCTATGAAACGGAAAAAGACTTACAGAAACTGAGAACAGACTTGTGGCTGCCAAGGCAGAGGCGGGTGAGGGAGGCCTGGACTGGGAGTTTGGGATTAGCATATGCAAACTATTGCATAATATACAGAATGGATAAGCAATAAGGTCCTACTCTATGGCTCAGGGAGCTATATTCAATATCCTGTCATAAACCATAATGGAAACAAATATGAAAAAATAAATTAAAGCCTTAAGTATATTTATAATAGATAGTTGATGAGCATAGCCATCGTTCGTGCTATTCACCCAAAAAGCAGTCAGATGCCTGTTGGAGTGTTTTGCCTTTCTGCGTTGCTGGAATGCTGAACAATACAAACCCCTTCCTTTGTACCACAGCTGTCTCGAGCCGAGCAGCGAATGAATAGATTGGACCAGTGCTACTGTGAAAGGACTTGCACCATGAAGGGAACCACCTACCGAGAATTCGAGTTGTGGACAGACGGCTGTAAGAACTGCACATGCCTGGTATGGCTTCTACTGGAGTTCAGACTAATAGAACTCAGATGCCCCTTCTCTTTAAAAATGTATTAAACCAATGTCATCATGAAAATTTCAAGACCCATTTCCTCAAAACACAACACTAAAGTGCCAGCAAACCCAGTCAAATCTAAAGAACCATGTATTGCATTATTAAAGACACTTTCTAGCTTATAAAGATTATTATTGTGGTTTAAGAATGCTATAAAGTTTTAAGTTTATTGTCCACATGTGAAGTTAGTGATTTAAATTGGGTCAGTAAAAGGATTCCCAGAGGATTCTATCCTGTTGTCCTTAACTTTTCCAGGGATTTTCCCCTCATGTTTTTGTTAATGCATTTTGATAAAACTAAATGAAATGCAACAGGAAATACTGTGACTAGATTTGGCTGTATAAATAAATAATGGAGTCTAAATAAGCTTTAAAAATTTACTAATACAGTGGATATAAACTGTAAAGTTTAAATAAATATGATTTCTCGAATTGTTCACTAATTAGGTAGAATGGTTAGAAAGTCTAGTTGCTCAGTCGTGTCTGACTCTTTGCAACCCCATGGACTGTAGCCTACCAGGCTCCTCCATCCATGGGATTTTCTAGGCAAGAGTACTGGAGTACATTGCTATTGCCTTCTCCAAAGGATCTTCCCAACCCAGGGATTGAACCCAGGTCTCCCACATTGTAGGCAGACACTTTACCATCTGAGCCACCAGGGAAGTCCCAAGGTGGAAGGTAGAATGGTTAGTGTGTTATTATTTCAAATATAGAAGTTCATTTTCAAAGAAAAGTTCAAAATGAGTTTGGTTTTGAACTTTTAAACCCCACATGGACTATTTGTGAGAACTGGTTAGCTGTAAAGAAGTCAGAGGTCTAAAACACTTTTTACCAAGTTCATCTAGTTTACTCAAAAGTGGAACATCATAATGTTAAGAAGGTCAAAGTTAGTGGTGAAATAATGGTCCATGTGTGTGTGTGTGTGCAGGCTTTGTCTGATTTCTATTTAGAAACGTATTCCTACCAACATTACATTTCACAAATATAGTAAAACCTTCACAACTTGTAAAATGGGTGCCAAAAATCAAATTGAGTAAGATACAAGATGTAGTGTGATGAAGTCATAGTCATTTTTTTGGAAAAGACTAGAAAAGCAACTAAACTACCTTGGTGTTCTGGGTGACCTTCAGGAATCAAATTCCCTGAGGTACCCTTTAGGTTGGTACCTCTTATGATGATCGTCAGTGTCCATTCACGGTGGTGGTGTGTTTGAGCTCAAATATCCCTGGGAGGATTTTTGCATCCTGAAACTGGGTCTCCAGCATGGCAGCTGCTATTCCAGAAATATTGTTTGTTGATGCTCATTTTGTGAGTCATCTGGGGAGACATGAGTACCCCAGGCTGGCTCTCAGCCTGCTGTTTCCCTGCCACTGGTGTCCTTCCTTCAACCCCTGTCCTCACTCGCTTCACAGTAGGAGGTGAGACCTCTAGCTTAGTTGCTGAGCAGAAGATAGGGTCAACCACCACCTGTGTGATGACCCAACTTGTGTTACTGTGGGTCTCTGTATATGGATTTTACTATAATTTTACTGTAAAATTATGGTTTTACCAAAGAGAATAGTGATACTTATAACATTTTACGTGAAGAATTTGAAATTTAAGAAACAACTTAAAAATACTTGAAAACTACTAACTGCAACTTGGAAATTCTTTAAAATACTGTTTTCTTCTCAGAATGGAACCATCCAGTGTGAAACTCTGATTTGCCCAAATCCTGACTGCCCCCTCAAGTCGGCTCTCGCATACGTGGATGGCAAGTGCTGTAAGGAATGCAAATGTAAGCATAACTTTTATGGTGAATACTTTCTTGGCAAAACTAAAGCTTTGTATTAATAAATATTCACCCATCATTGGTTTAATCTGGGTAAGCTAAATCGCTTTCAGAAATGATGAAAATAGGAAGAATCCCTTCTGTATTTTGGTTGGGCAGTTCTTTTCCACTTAAAAATGTACTTGTATTCTAGCAAGAAAATTTTTCTTTGAGGAATCTATTCTGTTTAGTGACATTAGTAGCAAAGATATGTAATCAACTTAGTAGAAGACATTTCTCTAATTAACAGTGCTTGATACAAATACCTCCCAACTAGGTTAAGAATAGTCCACACTCAGCCAAGATAACCAAGAAAATCCATGATACAAATGACCTATACAAAGCTTGCTATCAGTCCAAACCACAGAAGTGCACATTGTTATAGAATAGTCCAGTGTGGACGGCCATGGTCTTAATTCACAAAAAGATGCTCATGCCACTGAATGAAGAAGCTGTCTGACTTTTAGCATCTGTTGTATACAGTTCACGTCTGATGTCTGAAAATGCTCTTTGAATCCATAGCTATCATTAAATGGATTCTATGCAATTTACTTAATAACAGAAAACATTGCATCTATATTATTTATACTTTAACAGTTGCCTCAAGTCCTTGTTAAAAGTAACAGTTGAAACTTAGCTTTTTTAAAAAAGCCAAGAAATAGTATCATATGAAACCTGGGTTGTCATAAAATTTGTAGAATATATAGGGGTATGTAGAGTTAGTGTTAGTCAGTTAATTGTGTCTGACTCTCTGTGACCCTATGGACTGTAGCCTGCCAAACTCCTCTGTCCATGGAATTCTCCAGCCAGTAATACTGCCATTCCCTTCTCCTTGGGATTTTCCCAGCCTAGGGATCAAACCTGGGTCTCCTACATTGAAGGTGGATTCTTTTTTTTTTTTTCGTTTCTTTACTGTCTGAGCTGTTAGGGAAGCTCAGATAAGGCTACATAAGTGCCATCTAATCTTACGCATGTGTCTACACACAAGATAGAAAGAGAGGAAGAGTAAGGAAGAGGGAAGAAGAGGGAGAGAAAAGTAGAAGCTACTTTTCCCAGGGTTTTTTATGCTTACCTTGCTCTGCTGACATTGCTGTACCTTACTCTTCCCTACGTAGGGTGCTCCTGGCGAGAGTGACAAGTTATTAGAGAAAAATCAGGAAGTCACTTCATAGTTCACTGATTTAATTCCCCCAGGAGCTTATTTATATTTAATTTTGTTAAACTTTACTTTGAACCAATCCATTTCATGAGAGTGTATTAACCTCGTCATCTAGTGTATTAACCTAGTGTATGAACCAGGAAGGGTTATATATATATGTCACTAGCTAATTTCCCTGGTGAGGGGTAATCTGAGTTCTTCCTTGAAGTTGTATTAATAATGAAAAGCTTGTACCAACATTCTGCAGTTTTCTTTGTAGATGCTTGGAGGTAGAAAAAAGAAGGGTCCTCTATAGGACTTTATATTGGTAACGTGACAGTAGCAGGAATCAGTTTTTGCTTTTCTTTCTTTTATCTTTTCCACTGATACTTCTACATTGTTACCTGTGAGTATGATAGATGTGCATTAAGTGATATTGATTTTATTAGAAACAGGCTGATTGAAATAATGAACCATCATGATAGATGAATTAGTCAGAAGTTGTAAATTTTAGTTCTGATTTTACCAGTTGTCTCTGTTACCAGCAGTAAGGTGCCTATTAAATCAGACTATGCTTGAAATCTTCTTCAAAATAATGTAGTTAGATAGACTTAATGAAATGGTAAAATATTTTAAAATTCATTAATGCACTGTGCTTCTGGCAGACTTTGGTGTTAGTGATTGGAAATCAGTTGGATTTCCTATATAAAATAGTGAAAGCTGCAAATGAGTGACCAGTGAGAGGACCACAGTGTCACTAGAATTTGAGTCTTTCATTTCATACTGCTGAAAAATAATGACTAAATGACTGTCTTTTTGGTCATGTTCAGTGATATGAGTGCCGTGGAATATAGAGAATTTGTGTCCCAATATTGAGCTGGCATGCTATTTTTAGTAAATACCCATAGAGTTTTTTCATAAGAGAAATAAGTATTTAGGTCATATGGTAAATATTAGAGATAATTCGGGATTGTGTCTCCACATGCACAAATTTTTTCATTTAGAAAATAGAAATACATAACTTCCTATTGAGTAAATTTATACGTGATATAATTTATCCTTTAAAAAAGTGTACAATCCAGTATATTTTAGTATGTCTATAAGGTTGTTCAACCATCACCACTACCTAATTCCAGAACATTTTCGTTGTTCCAGGAAGATACCCTCTAACCATTAAGAATCATTCTGTCCTTCCCTCTTCTGCCACTCCTTGGCAACCACTAATCTACTTTCTGTTCTTATTCTGGGTATTTCATATGAATGGAATTAAATGGTATCCACATGCATAAATTTAAAAACAGTCACTAAAACATTTCTGGAAATGTTCTCCTGAAAAGTTTTGCAAAAAAAAAATATTCTATAAAGGATAAATAATATTTAAAATAAATTTAATGATAATTAGCTGACTTGTTTACACAGTTCAGATTTTCCTATGTGCTAAAAGTAGGAGAAGCCAGTGGTTAGATGGATCTATGATGGTCTGTGTGTGTGTGTTTTACTGTTATGTATGAGGGGACCAGTATCATTTTCCTATACTAATTTCCCCAGTAGAATCAGTGTTATAATTTATGAGAACTTAATTTCAGTGGAATACGGATTCTATGTGTTTTACTTTTTAAAACACAACCATAGCCTTCCTTTTCCACAGTGCACTCATTAAATCTTTAAAACTCTTTTGCTCAATAGCCTCTTTAATGACATAAAATTAACAAAATATATTCTTTAGTGAGGACAGTTTAAAGAGATGAATCATTTATGGTTTCTAAAGCCTTTGGAAGGTAAAACATGTAGCCTAACACTGAATGTTAGTCTGCCAAGACTGAAACGAACACCACCAGTACATGGTCCAGTCATTTTTGGTGTTCTTTATTTAATGCTTTCAGCCTTGCTTCACCAAAGTTGTTTGTGCAACACTGGGCAGCCCTGTTTTGTAGCCTGCTCTATATGTTTCTGCTGTAACTTCAGCTCTAGCCCTTTATCCAAATATAAATACTGTTGAATGGTAGCAAGGTTGTTATTTTGGGAGAGAAGTCAGAGAGAACCAAGCCTGTCACGGATCCTTATTTGAATCTACATAAGCAAAGTGTTGGAAGGAGGGGCTTAACTTTTATGCCCCTACAACTAATGGAGCACCTACCATGGTGGAATTAGGATGAAATCCAAAGACAGGACTGCATCAATGCCAAGCCATTAATATGTTAATAATCACAACTATAACAAAGTCATATCTCTTCCTCAGGCTGGAAGGCATGTACTTTGCTCCCCAGTCAATCTTTATAACAGCTGTATAAAGTNTTCATCGACCGGTAACTAAGCTTTACCATACAAAGGCCATTAGGGTCCTGGCTAAGTCTAGGTGAAGTTACAAAGTAAGCAGAGTTTGCCTTTGTCCACTTATCTTCTCCCCTTTCAGCCACCACCACCATACTGTTTATTCCAGTCACAGGCTCTCAACTAGTCAATAGTAAGATTGACACAAATTCAAGGAAGCTCTAGAAAATGTAACTGTACATTTGTACAGTAAATGTAACTGTCTATATTAGTAAACATTTTGGGTGACATTAAATTTAAAATAGGATGAGGTCAAACTAATTACAAGTACATAAAATCTCAACCCATTTAAAAAAGTATCAGAAAATAATCCATTACAATTCTAGGAAACAGAAAGCTACTAAAATCACTGAACTTAGAAAAAAATTTAAACTATTCTGTGCATTCATTTATTTTATTTCAGTGGACTGTAGATTCAAGTTTGAATACGGAGTACTGCTTCACAGCAAGGTGATTCATGAATACAGAGAAGCAGAAGCAAATGAGAACTAACATTGTAATGTCTTTTGCAGAAAAGGCTATGTTTTAATAAACAACAATTGGGAAGGCAGATTTCCTCTCCATTTCGAGAAAGGCAGCAAATACAGGAAATGTGAATGTGACCATCAAAATTGGTTGGTGCTTGCTTGTAGCCATAGTTATTTTAATTGGTGTTTTCTCAGATGACATATCTATATGAATAAATTACAATAATTGTTTTGGTTGAATAAAATCAGAGTTTGAATACATAATCAGTTCAGTTCAGTCACTCAGTCATGTCTGACTCTTTATGACCACATGGACTGCAGCACACCAGGCCTCCCTGTCCATCACCAACCCCCAGAACTTACAAAACTCATGTACATTGAGTTGGTGATGCCATCCAACCATCTCATGCTCTGTTGTCCCCTTCTCCTCCTGCCCTCAATCTTTCCCAGCATCAGGGTCTTTTCCAATGAGTCACTTCTTCACATCAGGTGGTCCAAGTATTGGAGCTTCCACTTCAACATCAGTCCTTCCAATGAATATTCAGGACTGATTTCCTTTAGGATTGACTGGTTGGGTCTCCTTGCAGTCCGAGGGACTCTCAAGAGTCTTCTCCAACACCACAGTTCAAAAGCATCAATTCTTCTGCACTCAGC